GGGGGGGTCTGTGTGCCCCCCCCCTCATCGCGTGCGCCGCCCTTGGCCGCCCCCCCGCCCCGTTGCCCGCGGATCCCCGTTCCCCCCTCCCCGAGGATCCGGGGGGGGGGCATTGCCCTGCTCCGGGAAGGGGAGCGCGTTATTGAGGGACCCGCTGGAGACGGGCGCGTGTCCCTGTTTGCACGGGAGACGTTCGGAGCCGCTTGGGAAGCGCAGAGCAGGGAGCCCCTGGCTCRCTCCGGGCGCTTTGCATGGGGGTGACGGGATCCAGGGCCTGGAACGGCGCCGCTCCCATGGAGAAAAGGGCCGGAGCAGCCTGCGGCGCACTCGGAGGCCGGGGTGCCCGGACGGGTTTACTCACCGCCTGGAAGCGCTCCCGGCGTTCCCKTGGTTCCTGCCCGTGCAGCCGGGCGGGTGGCACCTTGGCAAGCGGGACGGCGTCGCCCCCGTCTGCTCTCCGGCTGAGGCGGGTTTGAGCAGCTCGAGGTTCTTGCCGGAGTTCCTGAAGTTTCCTGGCTGTTGGCTGTGGTGGCTGAGCCCTTCCCAAGCCCTGGATGATTCCKTATTTTTCCAGCCAGTTGAATAGCGTCGCCGATGAAGCCTGCGGAATCGGCAGCCCCAGCAGCTCCCCTGTGGAGCAGCTTCTGGAGGCCTTRGCCAAGCGCAAGCCTCTTCCTTAGGCTGCCTCACCCATTTGCCCCGACTCCTCTCCGGTGAATCGCTTATTTTACCCCTCTGGCAAGCAGGATAAGAAGTTCTGGAGGGGGGAATAAGAGGTCTCGTTTTGCACCTTCMGTGGGTTTCATACATGCCAGGAGCAGCTGCAGGTGGTAACAGCCTGTGTTGGGATGGCAGAGCTTGGAGAAGTTTCTGAGCAGGGGGTCACATCGGTGTTAATGCAGTTTTGTCCTGGTTTATTAGAATTATAATAGTCCTGGCAATTAGAAAATGAAAGGAYTGGCTAACTCGCCCCCAAAGGAAGAGTTGGAAGTTAAGGGTATAGCGTGTTTCTTCTAGGAAAAACACTTGATATTTCTGTTGATACGAGGAAGGAGAATAAACACATCGAGGTGTCTTTGTGCTGGGCTCCTGTGCATTCCCCTTGGTTGTCGGTACCGTGGCCAGCGAAGGCAGAGAAATTCCCTGACAGGAACAGCCTCCAGGCGCAGGAATGTGTCGGTGCTCATCACCGCGACCCGRATCCCGCTCGGGGTGTAAACACCTCCTTGTGCCGAGCTGTCCCTCTTGCATCACTGTAACGAGGCGGCCCTACATCTATTCCGGGATACTGAGGGGTCATGTGTTTTCTGGCTTGTTTGTGCTGGGAATTCTCTTCCTTGGAGTTTTAGCTCTGCTGTAGTTAAACAGCTACCGGGTTTAGTGGTTACATTGACCACAGGTCAGCTTTTCTGTAACCCCTCTGCTTTCTTTCTGTTCACCCCTCTCTTGCATTGTCTTCCATTTTCCTTTTTTGACCCTTTCTCACCATGTATTTATTACTCCTTTACCTACTGATTCCACCCGGTGAGCTTTGCAAAGTGCTTTTCTGATGAAACATAAAAATACAATTTTCCAAGCTCGTTGCGCGGAAGGATTTTGCTTGCTTAACCCATGCTCCAAAAACAGGTAACTTGGGTTCAGTCCTTGTATTATATTTACCAAACTCCGTGCCTTACTCCGATGTATTTCCTTCAATAACCAACAAGCACCTTGCTTCAGAGGTGYGACATCGGATTCCTGTCACAAGAAAGAAGATACATTTAAGAGCAGGAACCACGCGGAGCGGAGTAGAGCAGAGCTGTGGGTCAAGTGCCCGGCTGTGTGAGCCGTTAATTGGCGAGTTATTCTCTGCTCTTCTCTGAAATTAATTTATGGTGCTGCCCTTTGCGGCCAGAACCGGAGCCGCTGTGAGAAGTGGTTTGGAGGAGAGGGCCGTGCAGCAGGGCAGGACGCGAGAGGGGCTGCGAGATAAGGGACGCCGCTGCCGGGGCGGTGATAAGGGCAGCGGGAGCACGCGGGGCAGGAGCAGGGCCCTCGCTTGCTGCACATTCAGTTTGATGCTTTCGTTAAGTCGGGGAGATTTAACTGATCCTGGATTCAGAGCGATTTGGAGGCTTACTGGTGGTATCTAGCAAACGGTCTTGGGCATGTCCTGTATCAGGTAAGGAAGCTGTGACAGTTGCTCCTTGAGGGATACCAGTCCGCCTCTTACAAATCCTGAATGTCCCAAATGCCAGTCTTGAGCCAGAAGTGAGTTACAGCACACTCAGATGAGTTGGAAGTGGCCTGTAGGCACGACAAGAACCCTCCAGGTATCTCAGCAACACGAGTTAAGCAGCAGCACGTTTGGCTGCTCCCACCAAGTGTAACTCCCGTGGATAAAGAGACAGAAACTGAACAGAGACRGTGCAGCGCTACTGAGGAGTGAGAGGTTGGGAGTTCGTGCCTGTGCTGGTTAAGATTTGACGTGTTTGGTGCTTCTTGTTGTTGCTCTACTTTAAAAGAGGAGTGTTCCTGCTACTTGAATGTTATTTCAGTGACAGCTGATTTCTTGATTGGGATTCTGTGCTCCATAAGGAGGTTCTGCCCTATGACATTGTGGAAGATCTCATTAGCAAGTTGGATCCGGGCACTGATTACCTCCAGAAAAGCTCATGCCTAATACAGAGCTGGCTTACAAGCTTGCTTTTGAAAACATGCTACAACCAGATAATCAAAAATGTAGCAAAATTCAGTTAGCTTAGTTGAACAGCAGAGTGGTTTGGTCAAGAGTGTATTAAGTGCTAATGGATGTCTGGTGCTGCGTGCTTAGTTCATGGTCCGAGGTGTCACAGGAGAACATCCATTAATCCAGTCTCAGCAAGATGAGATGTAAGTCCCCACTTAAACKGCTTAACTTGTGTCTGCCCAGAGAAGCTGTCGCTCAGGATCTGCGCRTGCCACTCGGGCTTGTTCTGAGCTTGCTTTCTCTGTGGTCCCCCCTGTAACAGAATAAAATGGGGGGTTATTCACGGGGACTCCTCAGAAGCTCCCTGTAATGATGCCAGTAATGTCAGACCAAGTCTCCGGTGGCTTAGACACTGTTTGCCTTAATGCACCTTGCCCGGATGCACGTAGGCTTCGCAGGAGCTGCACGAGGCCGCGCAGCGCGGGCCCCGTTTGGATCTGCGGGAAGCGGCTCCTCGCCGGAGCGTCACGTGGAGTCGCAGYCCATGCAAACAAGGGCTTCTTGCATGGCGTTTGGTCGCTGTTTGTTCTTGACTTGTGGCAAACCTGCTTCTCCTGTACCGGCCTTTTCCAGACCAGAAACGTGGTCTTGCTGAGCTAGGTGGTAAATGGGAAGTCCCATGGTGAGGCCTGAGAGGGGTAGGCTGAGGTCTCCAGTGCTTTGGGTTCCTGCCAGTTGTAGGGGACTCCTGCACTCGTCTACCCGGTGCCAGGGTGCTTTGATAAGGCACAAAACTCTTACTGCTCAGCAGATACTGTTTCTGAGATGCCCGATACCTATATTTAGCAGGAGCCTTCTTTAATGAGCGTGCCCATCTCTGTGTTGTGTTTCAGCCAAATTGGAACAGTTTGGGGGGACAGGAGCCCATAAGCTCGTGATTCAGGTGTGGGGTGCAGCACAGTAATCCTGGTTTTCATCTGCAGCAATTGCCTGTTGACATTTCAAGGGAAACACAGCAGTAATTTGGGCCATTTAGAGGTATTACAGATCTGATGCTAATAGATAAGTTCCCAAGAAGATCATTCATTTTTATTTCAGTAAGTTTTTATAGGTTAATGTCTGTACCCCTTGTCAAACTCTCTATTGCAATAATCTGACTCAAATAAAAACAATATATATTTTATGCTTAAAAGAACTTAATTCCATGTAATAGATTGACTGGGAGAACCTCAGGAGCGGGTTTGCCTGGCTTCAGGTGCCTTTGAGTCCACGTGGAGTTACCGAAACGAGAAGATGTTGAGCAAAGGACTGGGGTTCTGGTAAAACTGGTTGTTCTGGAGAGCCGAGTTGTGCATAAAGGCAGAGATCATGGATCTATAGGTGATCTAGTCGTTTATCTACCCTGATCAGCACTGTGTGCGTGTCCACAGTGGAGTCYTTGGTCAGTAGGTGCTGATGCAGAGGGATACTGCTTTAAGCCATGACTTGGGTAATCGTAGAGATTCACTCGACTAGAAATGTGGGACAAGTGCACCTGATGCAAGGCCGCCCTCTCGTTAGCGATGTTGGTCTCCACGAGATCAGCCTCTCTCAGAGCTGTTGGATTTTGGCGCTACTGGATTTCTGTAAGACTAATTTCATGTGCTTGGCCAACAATCAGGTGTTGAGGTCTCTCTCTGCCTGAACTTAGAGCTGCATTGGCAGGGCCTGTCCAAGCCTGATGGACATCTTGGATGGAATCGTTGATGTTGTGAAGTTTGAGGTGGCTCCAGAACAGCACCTGGAACGCTTTCCCGAAAAAGCAAGCGAAGAATAAACTGCTTGGAGTTTTGCTTAGTCACCCRGGCTGCTTTTCACTGCCCTCTCTCCATGCACAGATTGTCTATGCAGAGCGACCGCTGACTGATAACAGCAGATCTTTGGCCTCCTATGGCCTGAAGGACGGCGACGTGGTGATCCTGCGACAGAAGGAGAACGTGGAGCCGCGGCCGCCGATCCACTTCCCAGGTGAGACGGAACTTGGGTGAAGTGTCTGATCCTGGCATCCAAAAGCATCAGTGTTTCAGATGTGAACTCTCTCCCCTTTAATGCTGTGCTGGGCAGGAGCATTGGGAAATGGCTAGAAATGAGGCCGAGGACGTTGCTTTTAAATTAGTAGAGGGGTTGGCTACCTAATAAACTTTTTATTCAAAAAACTAAATGTTTCCGTTTTGCTGAGGAAGGATAGGGAAAGCAAAAGAAACTTGTTCAGAAARGGCCCGTGGCTTTTCCCAAGGCCCGTGGCTTTTCCCGAGGCCGCCGGTGCCCTTCCCGTGCTGCACAGCGCTGCAGTAACGCGCAGGCCGCGCGACTCCGACCCGTGCAAGGCTGCTGCGCCGCGTGCTCTGCGCCTGGGTTGTGCCACGTGCCCAGGGAAGCTGGGTCTGAACAAACCCAGCCACGCTCCTCTAAAGCCCTAGTGTGCGAGGGGAGCCCTGGCTTTGTGTTACCTGCTGGAATTTCTGGCAAATCCCTGCTCTGTGGGCGTGCCTGGAAAAGCGGCAGTGACTCCAGGCTGTAGAAAAGGCTCGGGAGCAGCGGGTGAGGTGCTGGTGCCCCTGCCGTAGCTGGGGGCTTGGTACCTGCAATGCAGGTCTGCAGAAATGCTAGTCCTGACTTTTATTTTTTTAAATCTTTTCTGAGAGATTCCAAGTGCCATAGAGACACTGGCTTAGCTTGTGATCTCTCTGTGGTATTTGCATTTGCAAAGCTGGAAGTAACTGTGATTCAGTAAGTGCATTGCTGAAAAAAAAGGCTGCTTATGTAAATATGTGCCAGCATTCYTAACCTAATAACCTGGTATGTGGCAGTGTTTGGGTGAAGCCTTCTGACATGGATTTCGACTTAGACTTGGTCAAATATTGCAGCGTTGTGCCCTGCTTGTCCTTGCTGTGCTTTTTTTTCTTTTTTTTTTTTTCCCCTAACCATGATTGCAAATACGAGCTGACCTCTTCCCCCTCCAGGTCTGCCCCGGATAGACTTCAGCAGCATCGCCGTTCCCGGGACGTCGGCGCAGCAGCAGCGGCGGCCGCCGGCGCAGCCCCCACGGCCCTCGCCCCCGGAGGCGCCCGCCTTCCCGCAGGGCCTGGACAACCCCGCTCTGCTGCGGGAGATGCTGCTGGCCAACCCCCACGAGCTGTCGCTGCTGAAGGAGCGCAACCCGCCTCTCGCCGAGGCGCTCCTCAGCGGAGACCTCGGTGAGTCGGTTTCTGTTTGGTTTTTTTTACCAGCATGAGATGGTTTTAAATCTCTTGGAGCTCCGTTCTAATAAAAGGCAGTCGCAACTGTTCAACTAGCTGGAGTGTTCGCTGGCAACGCGCTGGTAATGCCGATAAAAAGTRCAAGCTGGAAATGCTGAAGGCAACTTCTCCCTCAGGCAAGACCATGTCCAGCTACAGCTTTGCTTATTCTTCCCCSTTGGCTTTTTGAGTATCCTCTGTGCCCCACTGTGAAGGATCAGGTGGGCAGAGGAATTGGTGCTGTGAGCAAGAGCAGCTCAGCTTSTTCTCTGCACTCATTCCCTGAATTCACCAGTTCCCAGTGGTGATGCTGCACTGGCTGTGTCCCAGAACCACCCCCAGGCCTCCATGGAAAGCAAGATGTTGAAATACCAATTGCTAAAGAAGCAGGCTGCAGAAAAAGAGAGAAAAAGGGGTGTGTGTCCCATTGCTGGATGGTTTACGGAAGAAGTGCCTGGTTCCTTGAGGGAGTTTTTCCCAGAACAACTCTGCTGCCAAGATGTCACAACTTCAAACACTTGAAAATTTTAATGTGATGTGGTCACACTATAGCACAGGTGAATTACAGCACGGTGTCCGTCCCTTTCCCTGCAGGCGAGTAGCTGATCTTGCAGCCTCGTGCCTCATCTGATGAAACTTTGAACTCTGGTACAGTGTTTTTTTTTTGGAATGAAGGCGGAGCGGTTGCGATCACTAAAAGATGTATTTGTCAAGCTCGGGAAGCTAGGAAGCTATTTCAGTTAGGAAATGTATTTCGTTCAGTTTGGAGAGTTGAAGGAAGAGGAGGAGTTTCTAGTGGGAGATCTTCTCCCCCCGCCACACACACATTTTTGAAGATATATCCTAATGATTTCTCCCTTAGATGAAGCTACAAGGGACCTTGCATGGATGTGGTTGGCCTGTTGCACGTTTGTTCTGACTTTAGCTCGTATCCATTGAGCTAAAGACTTCCTCTGCTTTCTAAAGGTTCTTCTCACCTCTTGAGCCGTCTGTCTGTGGCTCAGAAGAGACATTCCTCACTTTGGGAAGAATGTGCTGATGTTGGCATAGGAAATAAGTTCAGCTCAAGATAGCCAGAACTGGCTCACCTGCTAAGCTTTAGTGCCTGCTCTGCACATTAAGCTTTGATTCAGGTGTGTGTTTTTCGCCCCAAATTGCTGCAGTGCCATGTTAGGAGAAGCAGCTTTACCTGGCTGCACTGTAATCAGTTTGTGGGCACAAATCCAGTTGTACCCTACCTCCGATGTCCGAATCCGTGCGTAGATTCCTGCCACGTACTCGTGCTGCGTGCATTGCAGCACGTTAGAAGGTACCCACTGCACTGAAGCCAAGAGAGAAAAAGGGGTAAAAGAAATCAAAGGCAGGTAGTGCCTTCGTGAGCATGTAGCAGACCTGGAGCCCGGGAGCTGCTTCAGGGAGCTGCGTTACTTGGAGCTAAAGCACAACCTCTTGTGCTCACGGAACTTGCTTTATAGCCATTTGCTCCTGGGAATGCATGTGATAAGATTCAAGCATTATAAAAAAGCAGTGTTTTCCAAAAATGAGTTTTTAAAAAGCTGTGTCACTAGGACGTGTGGCTAGATTTCCTGAAGCAAGTGGCCCTGCTTGCTCCTGTTGACTACAGTGGTGGGAATTCAGCTTTAGGCACTGTAGTGTCCATCTCTTGGCTCGTGCTGTTTGGGTTTGAAGTTATTTATTTATGTCCATTTGTTTTACATCTCTTTATTTTGTCTATTTATGTCTAAGAATGTTGCTTCTGCTCCTTGCCGAATCTACAGTTGTTTTGCAGGGGTTGCTGAGCGAAAAGTACAATATATTTTTGCAATCATTTCTCGTAGATGTAGATCTTAGAGYTAAGAAATCTCAATTCTATCTCTGCTGCTGAGACTCTTCACTCAAATGCTTTTGCTTCTTTACAAACAGGTGTAATAATTAGTGCATCTGTAAAATGCTTTGATATCTGCAAGCAAAGGAAAGTGTATTACTGYTATTGTGCCTATTTTCTCCTCAGTGAAAAAGAGAGGGGGTCKGAAGACTTCTCGAAATGCTTGTGGGTGATTCAAGCTAGAAGCTTRTGTTCAAATTCTGCTTTCAGAATTTCTGCTCTGGGTGCAACTTGTCTGCTGTTTTTGCAGATGTGCTTTCCAAGTGTCGTGTAGGCACTCTGCAAATAGTGGTGTCTTCGTATTTTCATATTTTCTTTTATTCAAAAACACGTGTAAGGAAATACACTCACACAGCATCACTGTGTTTGGGTGTTGGACACAAGGAGAAATACTTCCATGTAGTTTTCCTGACATCTTAGCAGATTCTCAAGTCTGTACTGCCTTCAGAGGAAGCCTCTTGCAACTGTTGCTCATTCTATCCCTGAGTGTGTGCTGACATTAAAAAGCAAACAAGCAAAAAAGCTGGGTATGCCACAAGTTAATTTATAAGAGTGATTTCCAGTAAAAAGCATTTCTGTATCTCTTTGTTACTGCAGAGAAGTTCACCAGGGTGTTGGTGGAGCAACAGCAGGACCGAGCGCGGCGGGAGCAGGAGAGGATCCGACTCTATTCAGCCGACCCTTTCGATCTTGAGGCGCAGGCCAAGATAGAAGAAGACATAAGGTAGCAGGTCACAGTCACACCCAGGCTCTTGGAGGTCTTTAGGGAACTCTTTTTACAGGGAACTTCCAGCCTAGTGCTTTTSCCTTGAAGGACACACGAAAATGTGTTCAGATGTTGCCTTAAGACAGAAATTTGCTTGTGGGGAGGTGTGTGGGGCTACCTTTGCCTGTGGGAAGTTTGGGAACCGGGAATCTGTAGGCACATTCCATCCTTGTGGATAGATCTGCACAGAGCATCAGCTGCAGCAGCGCTGCCCGGCTGAAATCGTGAAGAGCACAGAGGGAAAGTGCTTAGCAGAGATGTTCTCGAGAGATGGTGTTTAGGTGCCTTAGGCCTCTCTTAAAGCTGAGAACTGGGCCCTTGCAGGTCTCTAAACCGAGTTCTTTGCTCAGCACTGTGGTATCTTCTCTTGCTTGTTAACTGGCTAATTCCAGACTCCGAACCTCACTGCTGTCAAAAGGGTCACGCTAGAGAAATGGTGGTTCTGCTTGTTGGCACTTGCTCTTCTGTTCTGTCTTCCAAAGGTAATTGCACTCCTTAAATGGACTGATAAATCCTGAGTCCGAACGTGGCTGGTGTGTTTTTCCTCATGTCGAAACATCTGTCCCATAGGGCTTGTAGTTGGCCAAGACCGAAATTCATTTGTGATAAGAAAGTGAATTCTTGCATTATGACTGACAGGGATTATGAATGCAGGATAAATGATTACCATTTATGCATTATATTTTCAGCACTGCTATTTAGAGATAGCAAAATTCTGAGGTGCAGGAGCACTTTCCTTGCCTCAGAGGTGGAGAATTGGGAGGAATGAAGATTGGGGAGGTTGTGCAGCTGCTATAGAACAGTTTGGGCATCTCACAGTGCCCAGATTTCACACACAGCCTTTCCAAGCCATGTTTCAGTTTTCCCATGTGGGAGCAGTGCCAAGCAGAGAGAGAAAAAGGGGATAATACTTTTAACAAGAAGGCTTCAATTGCAGAACCRCCATTCTAATAGACCTTAGTTAAGCTTAAATACTAAGAGACCGTCTAATGTGTGGTTTTTCAAGTTGCTGCATGTGTATCTGAAGGCAGAGTGGACTAGTGGCAGCGCAGCAGGGTGCTTTAGTTCCCAAGAAAGCCAGGTCTCTGATACTGCTTGATTTTTGTGTGTATGTGATGCCAGCTCCCTTCCCCCCAAAGAAACCCTATCTACCCATCTCGTTCTAGGAAGGTGACTCCAGTCTCCGCAAAGGCAAGAGAAGGGTTTAGTCTCTGTCCYCTCCCGAGAGGGCAGGCAAAATTGTTTCCAAGCTAGAAGCCCTTTTTTTTTTCTGGATAGATGAGCTGTTTCAGATGCTGTCACTGCTGATCCCATCACTCTCAAGATTCCTGCAAGGCCGGCAGCAGGGATTGCGAGGTCTCCTGTAGGGCTCTATGTGCAGCGAGRGCTTGTGGTGGCCGTGGTGGTGTCCTCTGTGCAGATTTGTTGCCCTCCTTCTATCCCGATGCCTGCAAAAGATGAGATACCAGGGAAGTGCCGGAAGATTTCAGCGCTCCGCTGCTGTGTGGGATTCCAACGCTGTAGCTACTGGCAACATCTTCATCATGTGCATGGGGTGCTTTATTTCAGAGTGACTAACTAACATACAGTGTTTCTGCCACCCATCCTCTTGGTTAACCCTCTGAGGACAAGCAGAAGTCTGGGAGGTGCAAATGTCTTGGGTGCTGAACGCAGTAGTGCAAGTTGTGAGACCCTGGAAGGGTTCTTCCTCCTGGGAAATGACCTGGTACCTATGGATTAAGACCATCACTGCTAGCAGTTCCTCTGCTAAGGCTGTATTTAGCTATGGAAGAAGTCGGTGGTTTAAACAAGTTTTTTTTAACTTGTTTTAACTACTGATAGACTGTACTGATGGACTGGAGTGGGTGGGATTATCAGAGTTGTCTGCAGCTCAAAAGGATGCCCATGAAACTACTGGTTTGCTTTTTTTTTTTTTAAACTTTTGACATTGTCCTCCTTTTAAATTTAGGCAACAAAATATTGAAGAAAATATGACGATAGCAATGGAGGAAGCTCCCGAGAGTTTTGGCCAGGTGGTGATGCTCTACATCAACTGCAAAGTCAACGGGCACCCGGTGAAAGCCTTCGTCGACTCAGGTGAATTGTCTTCACTTCTTGCTCCATACCCTCCTCTGGCTCATTGAGGGAGACAGGAAACACTCCTGAAGTTTTTGCCTGAAATATTTTCTTTCTGTTGTGAAGTCTGATATTAAAGGATTTTTTTAAACGCATCTAATTAAAATTTGAGAGCATTCTGAATGTTTTGGGAGGCAAACAGAGCAAATAGTTGAGATGCTTTGGGAAGCACTGCAGATGAGTGATTGAACCCCCTGGGATCGGTTGAAATTTCTGCTAGCTGCTGGTTGCAGTGCTAGAAAGGTCCCTGCCAAACCTGTGCCTTCAATTTGCAGATGAGTGGATTTTTGCTTGCCTTTAATGCTGTTTTTCCATCCACAACTTTAAAGGGAAAGTCCTCGGGTTATTCCAGCTCAACAGCAATACATACTTTACAGTCAATGCTCATCTCTGGGCATACACCTGGTGTAAATTAAAAGCAGGCGGATTCGTAATTCTTAATTGTGATTTGTAATTCTTAATTGTCTCATCGGCAGGTGCCCAGATGACCATCATGAGCCAATCTTGTGCTGAAAGGTGCAACATTATGAGGCTGGTCGATCGGCGGTGGGCTGGCATTGCGAAGGGTGTGGGGACACAGAAGATCATTGGCAGGGTGCACTTAGGTAAGCACAGAGCTCCTCCTTGGGGCAGCTGGGGTGCCATTTCATCTGCCTCTAATTTAACACTGTGAATGATATAAATTCCCACAGAGTAAGATAAAAGGGCATTGGATGGATGTTCATTTGACTTGGGCACAGTAATCTGGCTTCCGTCCATCTTAGTGCTTTTCTTAGCCCTTTATTATCTTAACCGTTTAGTTGAGGGGAGTTTTCAGCTCCTGCAGACACAGGGGACATGTTGATTCTGCAGGAAAAGTGTTAGCCTGTGGGGTGGTAACTGGTCTTCCTTGCCTTTCAGCTCAGGTTCAGATTGAAGGGGATTTCCTGGCGTGTTCCTTCTCCATCCTTGAAGAGCAGCCCATGGACATGCTGCTAGGACTGGATATGCTGAAGAGGCATCAGGTAACACGAACTGTTCTGAAGCAGTTACTGGCTCTTCCATGTCAGTCGCTACCTGTGGCATAAATGCCATTCCTGTGAATTTCCTAGAATTTCTGGAGCGAGAACAGAGGGCTGTCTTCCCATCAGTTGTGGAAGACGTAGCTGTGATGTATGTCACCAAGCTGCATGGTGTCTGGCTGCGCCCTGACGTTTTTTGCTCTGAACAGAGATGCTCGAAGCTTTGGAACAGAATGACTTGTTACAGGTGAAGGCATCCATGGGCCCTTGCCTAGAGCTGAAGCTCTCGGCCTACCTTTGCTTTACTGTCTGTGAGCTGTTCCTCTTGGAATTAAACTGYTCAACGTGCTTTGGCTTTCCTTTTTCTCCTGGAATCTTCCGGTTCTTACGCGGGCCCTTGTGTCTTGGTGCTCTCCCGTAGTGCTCCATTGATCTCAAGAAGAACGTGCTGGTGATCGGCACCACGGGCTCGCAGACGGCCTTCCTCCCGGAGGGCGAGCTCCCGGAGTGCGCCCGGCTGGCCTACGGAGCCGGGCGCGACGACCTGCGCCCCGACGAGATCGCYGACCAGGAGCTGGCCGAAGCGCTGCAGAAGTCTGTAGAGGAAGCAGGTACCCCAGGGAGCCCAGCTGCAATGACGCTTGCCCCGAGTTTCTTGCTCTGCGTCAGGATGTCTGTCAGCAGTCAACGGGAAGCCCCTTCTTGGCTTAATAGTGGCTGTAATCCAGTGTAATCTCATGCAGTGTCAGTAAATAGTGGGGAGAAAGGTGCTTTCTTGCTCACGGCCTCTAATTGCACCTCTTTGTCCCGCCGTACAACAGCGTCTGTCAGCATGAAGGCATTTGGGGGTGCTGGCTGTTTAACTTGTGCTCTCTTTGCCACTTCCTGCTCTTGYTCTTTGAAGATGTGGGGACAAATTAATGTCTGTGGCACCTGCTCACGTGGCTCAGGCTGTAGAGCTCAGCCAGGGGCGCGTGTGCCCAGGCGAAGCTTTAGTCAGCGCGTAAATGGAGCAGTGTGGCAGCTGCTGTGACCTCCTAGCAGCTCCAGCTTGTAAAAACATGGGAACCTTAACAGCAAGTACAAATCTCTGGTAGAAAAGTAAATGCCCTTTTTTGGCAGCTGTTTTGGCTTTCCRTGGACAGTGATCTGAAGGCGCATCTGTAGCCAGTTGCTTAAGAGCTATATATTTTTGTACAATGTGTTTACTTGCCGTTTATACCCACCTATTTGCTCGGGGACAGTGTGAGTTCATTTCAAAATACTCCTGTTTCAGCATTTTTTTTTCTTACTGTTCTCCAAAGAATGTGTTTGCACCCCTGGAAGATAAATTGCTGCTTTTAGAAGATTACTATTGCTCTAAATAGCTTATTTCCTATTCATTCAGTAGAGGCAGCTGAATTCCCGTGTTAATGCCACGCCATCAGCTGGGTATAGGCCGCTGCAAGAAGAATTTTCCCTCTCCTACAGTTCTGTTCCTTGTGCCTSCAGAAGCCATAGGCTGCATAGCAGCGTTTAGTTAGGTGGAGATCCCAAATAGCTGAGTGCTGAGCTATGAACCAAGCTGTCTGAAGTGTGGGTTTTCTTTTTAACTCTTCTATATTTACATCTGCTTAAAGGAAACCTTCACTTGTGTGTTTTCCATTCTTGCAGTGGAATGGTGAATAGCTCACACCTTAGGCCCCCTTCAAAACTGATAGAAAGGTAACACTTTGTATGCATTTGTTTTAAAGGGAAGCTGGTTTGGAGCTTTCCTCCTACCTTTTCCTTTGAAAGCACACAGGAAGATGCCTTTTCCCCCAACAAACCCCCAYGTCTTTGCTGGGTTGTATGTAAGCTGATGGGGTTTGATTTCTTTCTTATTTTTATTGCTGTCTTTTAAGGCACTAGTGAAAACACCTGTCCATATTTCAAATTGAAGGTTTCCTCTGGTTTGCTGTTATAACGCACTTAAGTTTTTCTTTCATACTTGCTGCCTATAGTCCAAAAATTGATAGTGACGTACTTGCAAGTAACTGAGTTGCATTAAGGAGAGGACAGGACTGTGCCCGTTTGTCCCTYTGCCTTGTCCAGTTTGAATGCTCATTAACTCAGGCTGCAGCAAAGGCAGAACCGCAGTGCGAAACAGCTTGAGCCTTGCTGCTGTCAGGTTTTCATATACCTAAGGGTCAGGCTTGGTTACTTGAGCTAGTTCTAGTTCCACGTACCCTGCAAGAGGAAAATGTAGGGTAATTCTCGTGCAAATTCTGAGGTTGATGCAGACAAGGCTGATTATTATTATTATTATTTAATATCTCAACATTTAAGGTCATCTTTTTTTGGACACCATGGTTCGATTTGATTGTCATCTGAAAGGGTTGAATAGAACCCAAAAACCTCCCAGTCTGCAAAATGTGAGTCTTTATCATTGGAGAATTTGAGCAAAATTCTTTAATCAAAAACAAACAAAAGGTTAAAATGACTGAAATCAAAGCTACTTACGTCCTTGTGCAGTTTGAAAGGCCGCGTGGCTTTTAAGGCTAATCAGCAGTCTCCGATTTTCTATTGATACTGAGCCCCAAAGGAATGTGGAAGATTTCAGTCTTGGAGCAGAAAAAGCATTTTGGGTCTTCACTGAGTGCTTGTGGAATGTGAGTGAGTGGGATGAGGTTTAGATTGACTGTATATAAATCCTAAAATGTATCCCAAGCCTCTGGCACACAGGCAGTTGTTAGCTGTATCTTCAAATGTSCAAGTATTAACATATGTGCCCTCTTCCTCTCTTCCAAAACTCTTAGTTGCTGCTAGATGGCACCAAGAAAACCAAGTCAAAGAACAGGAAACAAGAACAGAGGCAGAAACAGAGAGTGGATATAGTGCAGCGCCAAGCAACTCGGCTCCCCACAAGACCTGTGTTCTTTTATAACAGCTTGAATTTCCGCTGCCTTCTAGCAGGTGGTACAACAGAAACACCTGTACATCACTAGGCTATTAAAGTTCTCCTTTGAGTGCACCTGGATTACATTCCTGAGCCTTATTCATCCGCTGCCACCCCTGTGGCCYGGCTCCCGGGGCTTGGCAGCTGGCCTGAGGGTATTTCCAGGCCTGAGGAAAAAGCAGCTGAGGTGGAGGTGTCCCAGGATGTTTTTCTGTGTACAGCAAGACCATCCTGCCCAATGCTGTGGTCTCCTACATCTTACACGTTTGCCCCACGTTTGGGAGCTTTTCTTTTTTTAAGCAACCAATGTGCAATCCATTGGTTTCCCCCTTGGCTCCCCCAAACTACTGTCAGCTCAGCGACGGTGGAAAAACTCCAAAAAGTGACAGGAATGAAACACCAAAGCTGGTGTGGCGGGAGGCATTTCCAAGCAACTTACYCACACGTGTGGCTTTTTAATCCAGAAAGCGTTGACACAAAGGGCACTGCACCTATTTGCAACTCGAGTAATTTCCCTGGTATAGGGAGGAATTTCTCCCCACCAGCGCCCTGGGCAGAGAAGAGCTTGTTCCCAGCATTAGCTGCCTTGATTTCCTTGACGAGGTCGGGATTCGGCTCCCATAGCTGCCCTGTGAGAAGGGTGACTATGAGGATGATGCTGAGGAGCACTCGGCAGAGTATCAGCTACTTCTGCGCTCTGAATGACTATGATCCCTTGACATATTTGACTGATTAGACCCTTATTACAGAGCCAGTGAATGTAAGGAGAGCTCTGCCCCCTCCCCAAAAGGTTGGTTTTGCAGCAGAGAGCATGAACATAATAATATCACTATATATAAAGAGGAAAGAAACCACCTGTTTTCATTTGTACCCTGGGTCTGGAGCCTTTCTGTCACCCTTATGGAAGATGAGTGGTCTGCAAAATGTGCAGGATGATTCTGGCTTTTTAATACTTAAATTTTGCCAAGTTGTGATAGTTGCATGAAACAAGATGTGCAACCAGTAGGATGGGTGAATGACTTYGTGCAGCTGCTGCTCTATTTTGTACCAAAGGGTATCTGTCAGAGATGCTGCATCGCAGCGTGTAATGCACCACCTTCCTCTAATGAAGAATAAAGGAGATAAATACCCGAGGCAGACAGGCAGATTCCAGCCACRGTACCCAACGCAGACAAACGTAGCTGTACGTACGAGCACGGTTAGTCAGCTCTTCCCAGTAAGCCTGTGTATATTTTATTTTATAAAGAAGACTTAAGATAAAACCCAGCTATATTTTTAAGGCTGTTGAGTTTGAAGGCCTATGGGGAAGGAGAGGGAAGCGGTAAAACAAATTCCRCAGGACCAAGCGTTGCATAGGGAACGCCTGGACAAAGTAAATCCTGCATACTTCAATAGCAGAGCATGTGCTATTGCAGCAAAGGCCCTGCTAGTGTTCTAGTGAAAACATGAGACCTGATAAATCTGCACAGGCTTATTAGYAAAATAAGTTCACCTGTTTAATTTTTCCTGACAAGCGGGGTTTGGTGCTATTGACAGAGACGTGTAATTCATCTGTTCTCCATGCAGAGGAGACAATGAGTTCTGCTTGACTCCTGACTGTTGCTTTGCTTGCTGTACTCTTGCCTCAGGCAGCAGTTTCTTTTGGGGGTGTCTCTGGCATCTTTCACCCCAGCTCTTTCTCCCTCCACTTGCAGCAAGCTGAAGTCTGCTTGTGTCCTCTTGCATACGGTGGCACAGGACGAGGCTGGGAGCAGGACTGGGGTACTCTGGTGTTGTCTCAGGTCTCATTTCCCTGCAACGGGGCTCCTGTTTGTTGCCCTACAGAGCACTTTGAAAGTTCACACAATACAAAACAGCGTTGCAGTTATTCTATTACAGAGAGATTTTTTTGACGTGATGACCTGAACATGATGAATTTTCCGGACACCACAACGGCAAGCAGAGCGCTTTTTTGAGAAAAAAAAATCAATGGGAAAAAGTTCCTGCTGCCCGGGGTGCTCTAATTACAGACAGCTGGGGGAGGAAGATAAGGACTATAACCATGCATGTTGTGTGTGCTTTGAATGTTAATGCAAATTTGCTGTGTTTGTTTCCTAATCCAAACAGAACATCAGAAGCCTTGATGCATGTAGTGTGTGTTTACTGCAGCTGGAGTGGGCCACAGACCAGGTATTTATAGCTGCCAGTTTCTAAACTTTCAGTCCTACCTTCACGCTARCAGCAGCAGGGCCATCCTTGCTTTAAATTATACTGCGGAGAAATCCACGTGGGGTGAAATTATCAACTCCTTCACTTAAGAACGTGGGAGAAAGATCTGCCTTGCTTGACCAAAGACAATGAATTGATGTGAATTTCTTAGGAAAGCTGGAGCCCTTCCTCCATGGGCCTCCACGTCTTTCCTGCGCTCTCCAGGCATCACTCGTTTATCTAAAGCACTTCTGGTTCCTTAACCCAAAATAGAGTTGTGTGGAGACGGCAAATTTCTTAAAATTGCGTGGCAGTTCAGGGCAGTCAGGCACAAAATGGATCAGCATGAGATGCTGCTGATAACAGTATGTCCTAAACAGAGATGAAAGCAGATCTGGTGAACCCAGAGGTCATTGTGCTGTTGTACAGAATTATTTATTTGAAATTGAATTGAATTTATTGTTGGATTTGTTAATGCARCAGAGCAGGGGTATGTCACAGATCCCCATCCCCAATTCACCAGTTATTTGGGTTTTTATGTGACAAGCAAGTGTGAAGACTTTAAAAGGTAGGCAAATAGTTGCTGGTAGTAAACTTTCTAATGGCTTTAATTTACTGACCAGATGCTACTTAACCCGTAATGGCTACATGTGCACAGTTAAACAATTTAACTAGTTAATTTAGGAAAAAATAGTAGTAAATTGTGTGCATGAGCTGCCATGCATAGCTGTCTGCTCTGAAGTGATCCAGGTAAGTCCTGAGGTTACTGATTCCTGAGCTTTGCAAATCTTGCGCTCTTTGTGGAGTGGGATAACCCGAACGTGTCTGAATTACCTGAAAATCTGCTGGGCAGCTGCCTTCCACTTTTGAAGTATACGGGCTCCCAGAATTGTTGGGGTGCTGTAGTTAAAACCTCCAAGATTGCCCAYTTACATGGAAGTGCTTCAACAGAGGCTGTTCTCAAAGATGCCAGTGGGCAGCCAGTTTCTTTCCACACAAGAGCGAGCAGCATTAACCTATAAACAAATAGAGGGAGTGTCAAGTATTTTATATCAACARTTACAGTTCAAGCTGACGTAATCTCACAAAGGATGTTTGTTGACCTCTAAGTATCTTGCTTTGTAATCACTGCTTACCTTAAGATATCACAGAAAAATGCAAAACAAACAATTGCTGTGACTCCTACTTTTCTTTGTTGTCATTGTCACATCTGCCCTGCTATTGGGGAGAAAAAAAAAAGATGTTTCCTCACCTGTGTTCTCACTTTAGGCAAAGGCTATGGCTATAAGAAAACCTAAAGTTATTTAAGCTTCAATGATCTACTGTGTAGCATCAGTGAAGCCTTCCTCTCAAAATACTGTGTGCTAGCATGCTGCTGGAGTATCTTTTCTGTGTCATGAAGTGAAGCATAGATCTTGCTCTCCTTCAAAAAATGACTCTTGAAAGTGAGATTCTGGGTTTTCATTAACTTCAGTGATTCTAGATATATTTGCACACTTTGAAGTTTGAATTCCCTCTAGTCATGAGACATCCGAGCACCTTGGAAGTGGCTTCTTGTGTCTTTTGCTGTCAGCAGTTAAATGTCTGCAGCTGGATGTAATTACTGGATTTCCCCTTAGTTAGTAGCACTCTAGACAGTCTGACAACTCTTAATAACTAGTAATAAGTGGAGTGGTGCTCTGCTGCATAATTTCCCAATGAACACGATGTGCCAAGCTGATATGCAAGCTATCCTTTTAGCTTATATCCCATAGATAGAAATACTTGGAAATAAGGTGGTCTCATACATCTTAACTGCTACTTTCTCTTTCTCTCTATACATAGAGAATAGTGACAAAGAAACTACCTCACTGGAAGAGCCCTCGTTACCAGCTTCTGATGGGTTTCAAAATCCAGTCCAGTCTTCAGAACTAAGTTCCAAGCTCTGTAATCCCACCAATCAATTACTTGATCGTTCCGTCTCTGCCCCTGCTTCAATCTGCTCACCCATATCTAGCCTCRCAGAGCCTGCTGATCCTAGAGCCGTGAAGTCTTTGGAGCCTTCAGATGAATGCCAGGGAATCCCAGGAAAAGGCCATCCTCTCTTATTACAGCATCTTTCCAGTAATGCTGCTTTGGCGAATTGTGACCGTCCTCTTCTGGTGGAGGAGGCGACCTGTTGCAGTCCAACTGGCCATTCACATAACACACTCAAAGAAACGTCTGCTGACAGTCTAAAGGAATGTAATGCTAAAGAACGAGGCCACGGTCAGGAGCCTCCTTTAGAAGTAACACCAGGAAACAGCTTGGCTGACACCGCTGCTAAGCACGGGCGAAATAAAGAAGTGCCAGAACAGGAGGAACTAAAGAACCGGCTTCCCAAAGACCATCAGATGTGCAGAGAACCCCTGAGTGAACATCTGGAGAAACAAAATGAGACGACTGCCCCAGGACGTCCTTGCAGCGTCGCTGGGGTTGAGAAACCTGCTGTGGAAGAAGAGCATTGCAAAGAGATTCATGCAGAGAACCCCCCTGCAGAAACGAGAGGGAGTGGGCTGGGGAAAGCACGGGTGTCCGGTGTGACAGGGAGGATTCCCGTGTCGGCTTCTTGTCGCCGTATGCACGTGGAAGTCTTCATGGAGGTAGATGTGGCTGAGAAGTCCCTGGTTGAAGTGCACAGCTCAGCAAGCAAGGAATGGCAGGCTGAGAGTGGAGGGCTATCTGATGTCAGCCTGGATCCTCCTCCTATGGAGGTGGAGTCAATGAAGTCTGACTCCTCCTTGAATGATCCGGTTGCYGTTTGTGATGTGCTGCAGTCTGGAGACACCAACGAAATTTCTGCAGAGTGTGAGTCGCCTAGTTCAACCTCTGAAAATAGCTCTTTCCCCTCCAGCATCCCTCAGCTGGACATCAACCCCGGGGCATCCTCAGAAGAGTCATGTTTCTCTCTCGCATCAGCCTTGAAAGAGCTTCACAAACTCTTGATTATCAATCGCCAAGGAGACTGTAAAATCCTCACATCCGAAGAAGTCTCTCAGTTGGAAGTGGTTCACAAAGAACAAGCAAACCATCAGGGCTTTCCTCAAGATAAGCATGAAGATGTAGACCCAGCCAGCCAGGAACAAAGCTGCTCCTTCAGTACGGAGAGCTCTGAAGGCAGAAACGCGGAGCAGCACCTGGGGGAAGCACGTTGTGGTTGTGGAGCAGCAAGCGCTTGTGTCACGTCTATCAGTCACACGCAGCCAGCTGTTGGGCAGGATGGTACAGAGATGCAGAAGCTCTCAGGTAAGAGCGACCTCCTCATGCTGAACTCTGCTGTGGCATCTGCTGACCAGCAACAGAGCTCTGAGCAGACAAGTATTTCAGCAGGATGTGATAGGAACCCAGCGGATCTGCCTTCAGAGCCCAAAGCATCTGTTTCCTCTGAAGCTCCCCTGAACAAAGATGTGTCTGAAGATCCTCAGCGCTCRCTCACGGCAGCACCTGGGAGGAGCAGCTCCCCGGCTCCCCAGGGTCCGTGGCCGTCGGGGTTTGAGGAACCGCCGCTGCACCCGCCTGCAGGCCCTTCCGAGCCCCCATCCGCTGCTCCTGCGCCGCCCGCCTTCCCTGCAGCCGACGTCAATCGGATCCTCCGCGCGGGCTTTGCCATGCGGGAAGCTCTGGAGGCTTTGCAGCAAGCAGARGGAAACGCGGATCTAGCTCTGCTCATCCTGCTGGCCAAGAGTATTGTTGTTCCTACGTAACCGCAGATGAAGTAGCTGACTAGAGTGTCTTATCTTACTCAAATTGTACATCATAAACACACAAGCAGAATGTTGAGCCAGATTTTCTTGAATTATTTGCAGCCAAAGTAACCTGTCTCTTCCGTTTCTTCTTTTGTTTTTTTTTTTTTTTTTAATTTGGCCTTTTGAAAGAAAGCAAATATCCTAGCATTGTGTGGACAGGATATTTTTTAATTCATATGATGCGTAYYAGGTTAAAATGAATGTTCTTATTTAAATGCACAATTTTAGAAGAAGCTCCAAAGTTACAAATAAACAGCGGAAGCCGCTAAGATCAGCACAGCCGCCCCGTCCAGCACAGAGCTGCTTGCAAAGGGAATTGAAGCCGTGGCCAGAGGCAGGACAGGAGGTCTGCACCGAGGCCRGGGTGATGCAGCTGCATCCCACTGGATTTCTCCCGATGGGCTGTGGATTGGAACCAGTTTTAGCTCTCCRGTGCTTTCTAACCTGTCCGTCTGTGATGCTGACAAACAGTTAGGGTAGCTGCTGAAGGTGGGTAGGTGCTTACGGCTCTCAGGCTGTGTAAGGCTTTGTGGGTGACGTGGCGGGGGTTGTGTCTGTTGGTCCAGCTGTATTTGTGGCGCGCACTCACAGCACGTGCCTGCTTCTGCCAAATCCTTTGTGCTGTTGGGCCAGCAGGTTAAAGTTTACAATAGGGAGAAGAAGGGATAGAACTTGGTGCTATCACAAACGAGAGATGTGGTAACTTTGAAGATGGGCCGGTGTTGGAGGTCAGCATGGGGAAAGGGAAGAAGGGGATATTTCCCGGTGTTCTAGCCTTGCCCAAATCATATTCCTCTCCCCACTGCCATATGAAAGAACAAACTCATCCACCTAAGGCAGATATTTACTGATGAACTTGCTGAACAAACACTGTGTGTTAAAGCCGTGTCCTCCCCTGTCTGTCCGTCCCCTTCCTGCCCCTCAAAGAACAAACTCTGTTTTAGAGGATGTGCTCTGTGCACTGAGCAGGTGTGKGATGAGAGAAGTGAGGGGGAAAATGCTTTGTACTCCTTTATCTCCATGRTTTGGGGAAGAGCAGCCCCGCCACTGTGCACGTGCAAACAGTGGGAAGCCCTTGGTGGCTTGTGGGGCACCCGTTTGATGCCTCTTCATGGGGAGGGCTCAATGACAGGGTTTGGTCAAGGTTTGCACCCGTCGTGGCCAAAATTAGGTGKTTTTTTTGGCTTTTCAGGATCAAGGGACGGCCTTGCAGAGAGCCCTGCCTGAATAGGACCCTCCAGGGCTCTGCTCTAGGAAGCCCTTTCCAGGTGTTTTGGTTTTTTTGGAGGGGGATGAACTACTATTCGGTGCTCTGCACAGCCCCAAAATACTGCTGGGGCTGGGAAAGGGGAGTTGAGCCACAATACCAAATCTGAAATGGGAACTTTGGACTTAATCCTACCTGCAAATCTCAAGTGGCTTTGTGTAAAATGCTTATCTTTTGCATTGAACTACACCTGAAGTGATGACTCGATAGCAGCTAACTGAAAATCCACTGCATTCTGTTCATGGTTTTCATTTGTTAACATTTTACCAGGCCTGTTCCTGTGTTTCTCTGTTTGTTTGTTTGTTCGTTTGTTTTTCCTGCTGCTTGGCACATCTGCCTATGCGTATGCTAGGCTATTTCACRGCGGGGGGTGGCATTTGAAAACCCCACAAATTTGGTTTCATCTCTCAACTTACAGGAGTTTGAGCTTGGTGAGATTTTCTTAGGTGCTTGAGTAGCAAGAGATGATTTGGAGCATAAAACAGCTTTAAGGCATTGCTTGGTCAGGTAGAGCTTTCARTAAACTGTGAAGGCACCATCAGGGTCTGGGGCTCCCGAACACCCTTGATCCTGTCCCCCCCCACCCTTGTTAAGACCCTCACCCAGCAGCAAGTGTGTGCAGGACACACAGCTCGTGCTACCCTGCGGGAACCCCTTGCCCTGAGCAACAGCAAGTATGATCCAGCTTAACTGGAGGTACTGAGACAGGACTACAGCTGCTTCCTCTCTGCCTGGCAGGGGTTGCCCATCGCTGAGACTTCATCGAAACAACCTTCAAAAATCATCAGAATTTTTATTCAAATCCAGCAAAAGCCCCTTCTGTCAAGAGTGTGGGGTTGCTGCAAGCGTACAAACTCCTCAGAGCTCCTGCTAGCRGATTTGGGAAATAAAATACATGTTACTAGACACATCCCTATCTGTACGTGTTTTGCTCTCAAAAGCAGCAGGTGGGATGAAGCTCCCAGCTCTCGGATGCAGAGGATCCTCTGTCTGAAGGGCTGGCATCTCATCCCCCTTCGTTCCGCAGCCCTCAGTGAGGTGGTCCTTGGAGCTGCATTTGCACCCTTAGCCTGCAGGTTAATTTACTGCCAGGTTATTTAGAGCATCAGAAGTTAGCCAGTCAATGTTATACCCTTTTCCTAGTTACCCATAATGTTTATAGAAGCAGTCGTTAATAGCTAGATGAAATACAGCTGCTTTGCACCAAACTGGTTAAAGTTTCCAGTTTTACGGCCACATTTACTTAGACATTGCATATACTGCATTATGTAAGAGCTTTAGAGCATCAGCGAGTTTGCTTCAATAGTCAGTTTTGTTCTTTGTCAAATTTAATTTGTTTTTGGGATCTACCCTTCTGCCAAAGCTTTACTGAAGTATTTATCAATACTGCCAGAATTTCCTGAGTAACTTTCTCTGAACTGCTCAAAACAGAAGCCTGACCCCCTCAGTTGACTGATATTTGTTTTTTGTTTTTTTTGGGTGTTTTTCTAAGTCTGTTTTATAAAGTTAGTCCAAGCCTGGTGATTTGCATCTCGACTTCTCAGAGCCTTGCTTTGAGTGAAAGGCTATATGCTGTTAAATTAAATTAGGAGATTTTGGGCTTTTCAGGATCAAGATTTAGCGAAGTGCAAGGAAGCCCAGGCAGCAGTATTTACAAAGTTAAATAAAACACTACAGAAGTGTTTGTAGTGAACACTGAATCCCGACGCGCATCCTCTGGCACATCCTTAGCAGCCTCTGTGCCTGAGAGAGAGACTCCCCTGCAGAGCTGGGACTGCCCCTAGGTACCGGCACACACCGGGTGTCTTCCTCGTGGTGCTCACCCTGAGCCCACCTGGGAGACAATTCCCCAAGGGATAAATGTGCCCTGGGATCTTTCTGCTCCTCTGGTCCTCCTCATTCCTCATTCTTCCAGCATACTAAGTGTCACACAGCTTAGCATGATGATTCGTAGCATCTTCCTATGAAAAGTTTCTTTCTGAAGCAACACACAGACGCTGCTGCTTAAAGATGCCCCTGCCTGTGGGGACCTTCCTGGGTCTGCAGTTTGTTTCTGGATATTTCCTGAAGCCCTTGTGATCATGTACCTTCCTAGAGCTTTCTAAAATGTACTCTTTTCCTTAAAAGATACCGAGGGGATTTTTCAGTCTCTTGTTAAATGCGTGTTTCTATAACTGGGACTCCAGGTCATTTTTAGAGGTGAAGATACGTCTTTGACTTTTAGAGAAAGAAGAACATCTGGAAGTTTCTGGACACTTAAGTCTGACAAAAGGAAGAAATACTTCTTGGTGATGGTCTCTGGCATGTTTACTTGCGCTGAGCTGAGCTACACTGAATTATTGTGACAATCTCCATCTTTTGGTAACACTCAACCTTATCCATAGACACTTGGTTCCCAGGACTGTTAACTTTGTACCCCTAAATGTGCTCCCTTCTTTCTGTCTTTGTGTCTCCCTCTTTCTCGAGTCCCTTGCTGTCTCCTTTCCTCAAAAGTAAGCAATATTTATGTATATTTGCTGAATGCTTAACTTGCAGAGGAGTTTTCTTTGACGCTAGGCCATTCACGAACAACGGGAGGAGCAGATCCTAGAGGTTTCGTCACCAGACTTGGACATCTTGCCAAATGGCTCCCCCTTAGACAGAAATTTAAAGAGGAGAAGTCACCAGGTCTTTTGCCTTCCTCGCTGAGGTCGCCACGGGACGTGAGGTTGGCTGGGTGTAAACCGGTCCCTTCTGAAGCATTCAAGAGATTTCTTCCTGCACTCTCTAGATCTAGCTTAGCCTGTAATCCAAATGCAGAGCGGTTTGGGTTACTCTCTGACTGATGCTTTTTAGCTTAAGAGTTTTACAGACTCATTAAGGAACTTGAGGGAATCACTACTCAGGAATCCTAAAGCTGGTGTTGCATTTGTGTCATTTACTCTTTTGGGCTGAACGTACTGCGGTTGTCCTTGCAGGTGGCTGGCGGGAGGAGTGGTTGTGTCAGGAGATCATGGGATGTGGTTCTGCCCAAAGTAATACACACTTGATTCTCTTTTTGATTTTATTTTTTAATATCGGGGGACTGTTTCTCAGCAAAATTGATGTGTAAAAAAAATTTGATATTTAAGAAAAAAATAAAAACTTTATGATAACGTTGCTTTGTTGATCTGTCTGTATTTCTGAGGTCAATGTCCCTGCACTTGAATCCTTCTCTGGCTTTTTTCCAAACCTCAAGAGAGTTTTGTATCATAAATGTTGCTATTTTGAACATAATGAACAGAAATCTAAGCTTAATAAGCTAGTGTTGTTTGCAGGAGCTGCAAGCAGGAATGAGAAATGCATGGGTTTCCCTTCTACAGGAATAGGCTGTTGACTTGGAAGTGGAAAGGTGTTAGGCTACAATATAAAATGTAGCATTTAAGTTAACTGCAGCATAGTGTTTGCTGGAAAGATAAAGTTGCTCCTCACGCACTTCCTATGTCGATATCTCACTGCCAGAAGTAATTTTTTTGTGGTTTGGGTTTTTTATTTTTTTGGATGGGATGAGGAGAGACTAGCCTTTCCTTCTCACATAAAAACCAGATATTTACATGCCTTAAAAGCTTGTGGCAGTTTGTYGCAATTAAAAATAACTTAAAAAATCCTATTCCCTTATTTATAGAACAGGTATAAAAACTGATAAGAGCTGTCAAAGAAGGCGCTGTCACGTCGTTTTGTTCTTATTGCCTGAAACTATTTTGAGCGCTCTGGTCTTGTCTATTCTGCATTACATGGCTCTCTCGATACTGCACGCAGGTGGGAATTAACTACCCAGTTATGGCTGCATTTACATTTAGTTTGTCCTAGCCTATCTGAACTGGTGCTCTTTAAGTCGCTCAAAAGCAATTCAGACTCTTTGAATTGAAAGCTTGGTGCGAGTGGTTTGGTTTTATCTTTTATGGACCCCTTGGGTGTTGCAGCGTTTAAATACCACAGCTTGGACTTGCTGTGATTAGTCACACGGGTGTGGAAGCCGCACGTTGCATTAGGCACCTCTTTGCACCAAGGGGCAGCAGTCAACAAAAGACAACGTGACTTAAATGTGACTCAAATGTGACTCCAGTGCCACGCTGTTTCTGCAGCCCTCGCCTGGCAGCACATTCCCTGCATCACTGCCTCCTTGGGCACCCTTTGGGCCAGTCAAGGACCAGCCCGGGATTTGGGAAACGCTGCAGCCCTTCTGATTCACTCGGGCCTCGAGGCATTTGTTTGCTTTGCTTCCTCTGTTTGCTGGTGATGAATGGGGCAAGGATCCCCTCAGAAGCATGCTGTGAAAATCACTACTATTACGTAATTATCGCTGACAGCAAAACAGGCTAATTACAAGGTACTCTCATGGTCGCCAATAAAAAGTTATGTGCACAAGGATGTGAAGGGTTGGTAGCTGAAATTCCTTACAGCAGCAGCTGCCACAGRAGCAACTAGTTCCAAATTCACAAATCAAAATGGAGAAATTCTTCAACTTTTTCCTCTGAGTCCATCCTCCTCCTCCTCCTCCTGAAGCCTTTCATGTGCCTTTCTAATATCCTTCCTGGGAACTGTCAAACCTGTCTCCTAAAACTAGGCTGCATAATAAGCTTGGGAGGACAACATCTTGCACTTGGCACTCATTGCTATAGGGAGATATGATCCACCTTAATGATTCACTGTCCTGCCTTGCCATTCTGTTACGCAACGAGCTCCTGATGGTTCCTGTTTTCATGAGCARTATTCTCCATGCTGACCCTGGGCTGTAAAAGCACAGCAAAGAGTCTTTTCTGGCTTCAAAGCATTGGAAAATCTCATGGGAAGAGGGCAGGAAGCAGGCTAGGAGTTGGGGGGGAGTAGGATGGTACATCCCGAGTTTCTGTAGGGAGAGTGGGAGCTGCCTTAAACACAGGACGTTTTAAAAAGCAGTGCCCACCGTGTCGGTTTCGACTGTCAGCATTCRGCAAGAGAGGCCTTACCTTCCTCCTCATCTCTGGAGGCACGGGGAGTGCGGAGCGCTGAACCTTGCTGGAGCTTCACCTGCTGCTGTGGGAGCCCTCATGGGACATGAAGACGGGTTGTTCGGTTGGGCTCCAGGTGCCTTCCCGGTGCGATCCTTGCGGCAGCTGCGGGAAAGGGGCACACGGGGCACATGGGCCCGTGCAGCCCTCGCTGGGCCCATTCTGCCCCTGCCAAGAGGTATTCACAGAGAAAGCGGTGGGAAGGGAAGGTCTTTAGGAGGCTGCCGGCTTTGCCCCTTTTCACTGCTTTTACTTTCAGTTTTGGTTGTCAGAGCTGACTGTCAACCAGGTAACAAGCCAGGCCCAGGAAACAAAAGCTGAAAGGCTGAGCCCTTCACCTGAAGTCCTTATTCAGGTGAAATTACTTATTTTGCCCTTTATTTCTTGATTTACCACCACCTAAGAGCAGATGTGCTTCAGCCTCATGCCCCAGCTGTGAGGGGGTGGTGGGGCTTGTGCTTTATTTTACTGTTTTGTTTTTGCTTACCAAAGGGATATCCCAAGCACCCGCCTTGTCCCCGTCCCCTCACTGCACCCAACGTCCCCTCCACGACATCCCCCTCACCCCATGGCCTCCCACAAACCGTGAAATGGCCTCCCTTGTGCCCCCTGGCCCCACAGCCCCCCACAAACCCCAGCGCCACCTCCAGGCCCTGCCTCGCCGCCCGTCCCCTCCATCCCTCGTGCCCCACGTCCCCTCCTGCCCCACATGCCTCACGCCCCACAGCCCCTCGTGTTCTGTGACCCCTCTCTCCATGCCCCCTCAAGCCCCGTGTCCCACCCCACCTATCCCCTCATATCCCTTACGTCCCACATCACCCCCTCCATGTCCCTCTCCTTGCACCCCACATCCCCTCATGTCCCATGTCCCTCTCCTTGCACCGCACATGCCCTCGTGCCCCATGTCCCCTCACGTCCCACACGCCCTCACGCCCCATGTCCCCCCACATCCCCTCACATGCCCCACATCCCCTCATGCCCTATGTCCCCCCACATGCCCCCCGTCCCCCCCGTCCCCCGCGCTCCGTCCCGCCCGCGCCGCTGTCCCCTCCCGCCGCGCGGGGCCGGGCC